TATTTCTTCTTCTACAAACTGAAATGGCTTCATGTGGCTAGTTTTGGCTATTACCACCTATTTTCTACCAGACTGTCTTCAAATGGCTATGAATGGCTATTCGTGAATGTAGTTGACAATTTTATGATATTTCGGTGTTTACAGAGGAAAATTAATTCAAATGGCAAATACATATAAGCATCGAGTTTTATTAGATTGGCTTGAAATGGCTATAATGGCTATCGGCAATTATTATTTACAATTTATGCAATCGGAGCGAGTATAGATTTTAATGACTTCAGCTGGATATTTTTGGGGATAGCACCTATCCTTGACAAGGTTTGCTTGGATTGGCTATTATTGGCTATAAGCATCTGTTCCTGTTCTGGTTGACTTGAATTGCTACAAATGGCTATAAGTGACTAGTATTTATAATTTGCAGCTATTTCTTTGTGTATAAACTGGAATGACTTCAAGTGACTATTTTTGGTTATTATCATATATTTTTACCAGACTGGCTTTGAATGGCTATTCATGAATATCCATTGAATGACTATGAATTCATGAATATCCATTGAATGGCTATGAATGGCTATTCATGAATGTTCCACGAATGGCTATGAATGGCTATTCATGAATACCCATTGAATGGCTATGAATGGCTATTCATGAATATCCACGATTATACTTGCTATAGCCATTGCTAGCCCATTGAAGCCAATCTGGTGAAAACTGAATGATAATAGCCAACAACAGCTACTAAAAGCCAGTCCGGTTAGTAAACACTAAAATTGCTCATTTCAAGCCAATTTAATAAAGAATAGATGCTTATAGTCAATAATAGACACTTGTAGCCAGCTTCGTCCATAAACAGTGTAATAGCACATAATTGTGAATTATACTAGCTAAAGCCATTGCAAGCCGTTTAAGGCGAATCTGGCCAGAAATAGATGCCAATTGCCAACAATAGCCACTAAAAGCCATTCCAGTTACGAAACATAAAACCTGCTTATAAATATTGTTACGACGAAAATAGATATATACAATGATTTAATTTACATTAGGTGAAGACTGAAAATGGCGGTTACAATCATTCAAAGCTCGTTGCCTCTGCCTCTTCTTCTTCTCTTGCCTCCCCACGAAAACGTCCCTTCTTTTTCTTCTTAACATCACTCCCCCTCGGGTGGAAACGGCGTCCCGCCGTTTGAATGGGGGATGTATGGTTTGAGCCGGAGGACGTGAACTGTTTGTACTTGACGATGGCGGTTATTTTGGGGAGGTTCGACGGGTTCGACTGTATAATTGACGTCACTTGTTCGGTTGAGGATCCTATAAGGACCGCGATTTCGAGGTAGTAGCTTCTGAGCAAGGCCGACTTGTCGCTGTGGGGTCCAGATCAGAGCCAGGTCACCTGGTGAATAGGCGACGAAAGTGTGGGTGCTGTGATAACGGGCGCACTGCCGTTCCTGAAAATCAAGAGTTCGCAGGCGTGCAAGTTGTCGTGCCTCTTCAGCACGGCCTATGGCGTCCGATGCATAGTCGGAAAGTGAGGTCTTCGGGGCGTAGCGGAAGCAGTGAGTCCAACATGAGGAGGGGTTCATGACCGAAAAGAAGATAGAAGGGAGAGTAGCCGGTTGTGTTATGAGGAGAGGAATTATATACGAAAGTTACGTAAGGGAGTGCAACGTCCCAATTTTTGTGCTGGTGGGTAACGTACGTTGCGAGCATGTCAGTAAGGGTCCGATTAAGGCGTTCTACAAGGCCGTTCCTCTGTGGATGGTAGGCTGTCGTTTTTTTGTGAAGAATGGAGCAGAGGCTCAAGATATCACTTACGACGCGAGATATGAAGGGCCGTCCACGGTCGGAAAAAAGTTCACGAGGTGCACCATGCTTGAGGATGATGTCTTCGAGCAGGAATTGGGCGACGTAAACTGCCGTTCCGGTCTGAAGGGGCCTTGTGATTGCGTAGCGTGTGGTGTGATCGATCGCGACCGCTATCCAGCGATTACCGATTGAGGAAGTACGGAAGGGACCAAGAAGGTCAACTCCTACGCGGTGAAAGGGCTGTTCAGGAGGATTCAGAGCTTGTAGAAATCCTGGAGGACGGGAGGCGACTGTTTTTCGGCGCTGGCAGGACTCACACGAGGTGACGTATCGCTTCACTGTTCCGTACATATTTGTCCAGTAAAATCTTTGCTTCGCTCGGGCGTAGGTTCTGACCACACCCAGGTGACCGGATGATGGTGCGTCATGCAGCTCGGCTAGAATAGACGTTTCTAAGTGCTTGGGTATGACCAGAAGCCAAGAACAACCGTCGGCTCGAAACTTTTGTCGATAGAGAACGCCATTTTGGAGGGAGTAGAGACTTGAAGAAGGTGTACTGGTGTTACCTCTCAGATCTGAAATGATAGAGTGCAGCAGTGGATCAAGGTTCTGTTCCTGGGCAATGTCCAGAAGGTTCGAGATAGGAAGAACGGGAATATCAGAGTCTTCACTGATGTGGCTAGTAGAGTCCACGGGGTAACGGGATAGGCAGTCGGCGACTTGATGGAGCTTCTCTGGTTTATAGGTTATGGTGAAATCCTACTCTTGGAGTCGAAGAGCCAATCGTCCAAGGCGGCCGACAGGATCTTTTATAGACGATAGCCAACACAGGGCGTGATGGTCAGTGATTACAGAAAACTGGCGGCCAAACAGGTATGGCCGAAATTTTGTTATTGCCCACACAACCGCTAGACACTCCCGCTCGGTGATCGTGTAATTTTTTTCGGCTGAAGAAAGCGTGCGGCTAGCGTAAGCAATTACTCGATTGTGTCCGGATTGAATTTGAGCCAAAATAGCACCAATCCTATGGCCACTGGCATCTGGGCGTAGCTCAGTCGGTGCGGAGTCATCAAAATGACCTAGAATGGGTCTAGTTGTTAGAGCGGTCTTTAAGCATGTAAACGCTCGCTCTTCGTCCGATTGCCATAAAAAAAGGTGTGCCTTTTTTCAGAAGGTTGTTAAGTGGGCGGGCAGTATGTGCGAAATGGTGTATAAAACGACGGAAGTATGAAGACAATCCCAGAAAGCTACGGACATCCTTAGTGCAGCGCGGTCTTGGAAAGTCCTGAACAGCTGCTACTTTGTCAGGGTCTAGTTGAACGCCGGTTTTATCCACCAAATGACCCAAAATTTTTATTTGACGACTGCCGAAGTGGCACTTGGACGAGTATAATTGAAGGCCGGCGTTACGGAAAAGTTTGAGTACTTGGGCCAGCCGCGTGAGGTGAGAGGACAATGTGCTTGAAAAAAGAATTACATCGTCGAGGTAACATAGGCAGGTTGTCCATTTTAGACCTTTAAGCAGGCGATCCATCATCCTCTCAAATGTCGCGTGGGCATTGCAAAGGCCGAATGGCATAACTTTAAATTCGTAGAGGCCATCTGGTGTAATAAATGCTGTTTTTTCTCGATCTGAATCGTCAACTGGAATTTGCCGATACCCCGAGCGGAGGTCGATAGTGGAAAAGTACTCGGCACCGTGCAAACAATCCAGCGTCTCATCAATACGTGGGAGTGGGTAAGCGTCCTTTTTTTTATTCTGTAAAGCGACGGTAGTCGACGCAGAACCTCCATGATCCATCTTTTTTCTTAATCAATACAACGGGCGATGACCAGAAGCTAGAGAAAGGTCGAATAATGTCTTTCGAAAGCATGGTGTCAACTTCTTGTTGATTGACTCGGCGTTCGCTGGCTGACACTCGGTAAGGTCTGTGGTGAACGGGAGTTGCGTGGCCGGTGTTGATGCGGTGTGTAGCAAGGGTGGTTTGTCCAAGGGGGCGGTTGTCAAAATCAAAGATGTCATGGAACTGCCATAGAAGAGCTTGAAGGCGATGTTGTTCGGAAGGGTCCAACGTGGAGTCTACCATGGTGAGTATGTTGAAAGGGTCTAGGGGAGCTGGGCGGGTTGAATTAGAAGCGGGTGAAAGGTCTGCTGCAATAGTGGAGACTGTGGCCGTGTCTAGCGATGAGCTTGTTGCTAAGGAAGCACCCTTTGGCAATACTTGTGTACAAGAACTAAAGTTAGCTATCCATACGCGGGTGCGGCCATTGGCAATTGGAACAATGCAGTGCGGGAGGGCAAGCTGTTTCGCGAGAAATATGTCCTTGTTAGGCGTTAGGACGTAGTCTCCATTGGCAACAAAGTGATTTGAGTGAAGTTCAACGGTAATGGCGGCAAGCGGCGGAATCCGATGACTTCCAGTGGTGCATAATCTTGAAACGATTGATTCAGACGTGTGGGCTGAGGTAGGAATGTCGAGGGCAATGGTTCCTGTGGCGCAATCAATGAGGGCGGCGTGCGTTGACAAAAAATCCCATCCTAGAATCATAGCATGGGGGCAACTGGAAATCACGGTGAAGAGAACGCGAGTGGTTTCATTGCTTATGGTAATTGAGCGCTGCACATTCCAAGAGGTGAGATAGCGCGGCCGTCTGCACCCTGGAGGAGCTTAGAATCCGGGGGCGTCAAAACCTTGTGAAGCTGGCGTCTAAGATCTTCTCTCATAATGGAGATGGCGGCACCGGTATCTACGAGCGTCAATATAGGAACGTGGTCGATTGAAACTAAAAGTTTGTTTTGTGTGTTGCTTATACCGTCCTGTAGAGGATTAAAGGGCACGAATTTTGATGCAGCCCCACTTCGCGAGGCTGCACGGTTTAGTTTCCCGAAATGCGGTGGTCGTGGGTGGGAGATGTTGAGCGACGGGGCATGGGCGAGGGTGAGCGGCGGAGATAGGGGGAGGGGGAACGGCTGTATAGTGTGGGCAACCTGGGCTCGTGATCTTGATGAGGGTAGAGGTTGGCTGATGGGCTGGAGTAACGTTGAAAGGAGCGACGGTAGGCAGTCGATGAGAAAATGCGCGGTCCATCGTTGAATTAGCGGCGACAATAGCGAGCAATATGCCCGACTCCATGACAGTGAAAACAGACGGGTCGGTGATCTGACGTCCTCCATGCGTTAGGATTCCGTTGTGGACTCATAGAATTGGCGGATGGCAAGTGGTTGAGAGGACGATGAGGCAGACGTCGGCTGTCTGGTTGTTCCGGAGGGACGAGCCGGTGGATTTCTCGTTGAACCAGCGCTTGAACAGCAGATACTGGAACTGCTGCACTACCTGAATCAGCAGGGAGAGCAGAGGTCTCTGTTGGCAGCATCGCTTCCAATTCACAGCGTAGTATCCGAATGATTTGCCTCTCAGATACAGGCGGATCCTCACAGGTGGACGTTGGTGTCGTGTTGGGCAGGCGTGTGAAGTTGGCTGTGATCCGGCGTTTTTTAGCCTCTTCAAAGCGCCTGCACTCTTGTATAACAGCATCCACTGTGGCACAATCTTTAAATACAATCAACTGGAATGCATCGTCGGCATTACCCTTAAGAATGTGAGTTACTTTATCAGCGTTAGTCATGAGAGGATCAGCCTTCTGACAAAGGGAAAGAATATCTTGAATGTACGTAATATAGGATTCTGTTGGCGTTTGGACACGCGAAGCAAGCTTGCGCTTCGCGGAGAGCCTTCGACCAGTAGGATCGCCAAAGAGATGTTTTAGCTGTTCCTTACACATGTCCCAAGACGTAATAGTTTCCTCGTGGGTGAGGAACCAGGTTCGGGCTGTGTCTTGTAGATAGAAAATGACGTTTGCAAGCATGATAGTTGGGTCCCACCTGTTATCGACGCTGATTCTTTCGTATAGGTGAATCCATTGTTCTACATCTTGATCCCCGGATCCGGTGAAGTTTCCAGGGTCACGAGGGTGGGCGATGATAAGAGGGGAGGTGGGTTGCGACGGTGTGCCCTGCGGTATAGTACTGCCGGATGCCGTGCTGCCGGAGGCCATTATGATAGATGAGACGGGAAGCTGTCGGCTCCGGAGTTCCATGTTGATGGGGGCGGAGAGGTAGATGGACGGATCGCACCTCCATCAAAATGTTACGACGAATATAGATATATACAATGATATAATTTCCATTAGGTGAAGACTGAAAATGGCGGTTACAATCATTCAAAGCTCGTTGCCTCTGCCTCTTCATCTTCTCTTGTCTCCCCACGAAAACGTTCCTCCTTTTTCTTCTTAACAATATCAACACTGGTCACTACTAGCCATTTGTAGCAATTTTAAGCCAATCTAAATGCTTATAGCCAGTAATAGCCACTTGTAGCCATTTTCATCCATAAACACTGAAATTGCACATAATTGTCAATTACACTCACTAATAGCCATTGTTAGCCATTTGAAGCCAATCTGGTCAAAAATAGATGCTAATTCCCACAAAAATAGCCACTTAAAGTCATTCCTGTTAGTAAACACTAAAATGCCCATAAATATCAACACTAGTCACTAATAGCCATTTGTAGCCATTTCCATTACATTTATCCAAATTTTATGCATAACCTAATAAGAGCCAATTGAAGCCATACTCAATTTAAAGCACCGAAATAGCACACAATTGTTTAATGATCTCATCAATATCCATCAGCAGCCATTTCAATTCAATCTGGTAAAAAATAAATGCAAATAGCCAACATTATCCACTTGAAGCCATTCCATTTCGTAAATATAAAAACAGCTCAAGCAATAGTAACCTACTAATAGCGGTTTTTTAGCCATTTGCAGCCAATCTGTTCGAAAACATGTGCTTATAGCCAATAATAACCACTTGAAGCTATTCTCATTCATAAACACTCAGTCAGCAGTTAATTGCTATTATACTAACTGCTATTAGCAGCCATTGAACCGATCTGGTCGGAAATATAATCTAATAGCCAACAATAGCCACCGGAAGTAATACCACTTTATATACAGAAATAGCTCAGTTTTCATTTCTCATTATTAATATTTGTAGCCATATCTAGCAAATACATATAAAAGTGGAGGCTATCAGCCAATAATAGCCAGCTGAAGCCACATGCATTCACCAATGCCGAATTAGATAATTGTCAATTATCTCACCAATAGCCATTGGCAGCCAGTTAAGGTCGATCTGGTCAAAGAAGATGCTAAGAGCCAACAAAAGCTACTTGAAGCCGTTCATAAGAGTAAGCAAACAAAAAATCACATAATTATCAATATTAATCACTTCTAGTCACTTAGAGTCCTTTCAAGTTGATCTCATAAAAAATTTATGCCTATTTCCAATATGCTAACTTGGAGCCAAGGATATCTAATAAGACATGTTTCGGTAGGAATAAAACAAATAAATCAACACGCTTAACAAAGGTTATTAATTATTTAGATTGGACAAAGTTGCTATAGAAATCCTGACAGGTCTATACAACACACTGCATTTTGACATCAAAATACCAAGAGGTTTAATATCACGAGCTTATGCTCCTTATGCTCCATCAAAAAACAAAACAGGGAAATATTTCATAGACTATCAACTTCTCTTGTGAGTCACACCCACTTGATTCATTTCCAGGGAAAGTGGCGAGTGGTCCACTACATACCAGGGGCGGATCCAGAACTCCGTTCTTTCTTGTGCAAGGGGGGTCCACCCATATCAAATTGTCCTCCGAGAAGGGGGAGGGAGGGGGGCCCTCGTCGCTCCCCCCCCCCCCCCTTTTCGATTCGCCACTGCTCCATACGCCATGATCGCTTTCTACTTCCGTCTCCCATTTTACACCGGAGTTTCCTGTATTAGTCTCTACGGTATTTGGCGTTAGCTTGGATGTCGTGCGCTGTGACCGGAGCAACTGGAACAGCCACTCTGCGCCGCGCGTACACACTTCCGCAACCACTGCAAAAACCGCAGCAGGTCGTCAGCACGACAGCCACTTCTCCGCCGCCGTCAGCCCTTTCCGCGGTATCGCTAAAAAAAAAAGGGGACGTGCTGTCTCCCATTGACGTAGCAGAAAATGCACAAAGTGTTCTATCGGCTCAAGCTTTTGCTAACTGTTATTTTGTCAGGAAATGCTAGCAGGGCAGAGTGTATGAAGAAAGAAACGAAAAAGGTGGAGGTCTTGGACGATCACGACTTTAGAACCCGACTTTACTAAAAGCAAAAATATTTCCACACGCATTTTCTATGATTGGAAACGGCGAGGTAATCGTAGCAGAGATATAGCAACGTAGGAATATGATTTCGTGATCTCATAGACGTTGCGACCGTTCAGGAATGCTAACACTAATCACTTGTCCCGGGTGATGAAAACGTGTCAAAATTTGCATGCTTCATACACGCCTTTAAATAGAGAGCGCCCCACTAATACCTCGAACATTAGCACACGCATGGAATGCGAAAAATAACAAATCCGGGGGATGTTCGACGACACAAATGCTAATATAGCACCACTGTAGTCGAAGCAAGCAAAGACGACGGCACGAGTGGTTCTGCTGTCTTGAGGGTGCCACCACAACATTGCCGCACGAGTAGATGGTTCTTCCCTTCTAGGACGTACTGGGTTATCATCGCGACACACGACGAAACTTCAGTCAAGAATAGCGCTTTACGCGGAACGATGAGCTTTCACCACGCCGACTATGTCAACGATCACCACTGACGCCATGTTTGTCAGCAGAGAGCTGGAGGCCTAATCTGGAAACTTGGCGAGAAACTCGGCGAGAAATCTGGCGGCCGTGATTGGCCAACGCCGCACTTGACCTTGGCGCCGGCCAATCAAAGACGTCGGATTTCTCGCCGACTTTTTCGCCAAGTGTCCAGTTTTGGGCCCCAGGAAGAGCGCAGGCGCAGTCTCATCTTTGTCTTCCTTCGTTTACCACACGATAGATGGCGCATAGCTCTGAGCATTCTAAAATTCGGCAATTTCCGTCATATCCCCAATTATTCAACAAAATATGTATCAGAATATTCTTTAACACAACCTTGAAAACATATTCGCTGGCCATTTATTGTTTATGATCGCGGTGCTGATGAGGTAGGCTTTTATCCAATAGGCGACGTGGGTTTGGCTGACGTGCATTTGCTGCGCGGATACATTGCAGTGAAATAGCGTAGGTGTTACGCTTGATAGCGTAGGTGAATCTTGGTCATCCACTGAACAAAAAGTAATAGATTTGGCCAAAAATAATCTAGGCGTTACGCTTGATAGCTCCCAAATTGAGCGTGCGCACAGACTGGGAGCGCACTCACAAGAAAAAACGGGCCGGTTAATTGTATGATTTTCCTCTTACAAGGCGAAAAATCAGCTACTTCTTTGTGGGCCTAAATTGCGAGGTACACCCATTGCTCTCTCTGAAGATTTCTCGGCGAATATCCGCGTCGCACGAAAGAAACTTTACTCGTTCGCAAAACTGCAGGGTCTCCCATTTAAACTTCGGTTTGACAAATTGCACATGGGCCCTAAGACCTTCAGCTACGACGCACTTTCGGATTCCGTAATTGAAACTCTCCCATAGGACGGGGCAGGGAGTAGGAGCAGAAATGTTGCCGCTATTAGCTCCCCCATTGGTGGTGTTGCCTCTGTTACATCCCCAATTGTTGCCGCTGTTAGCTCCCAAAATTAGTGTTTTATACTTAAATGCGCGTAGCCTAATTGCAAAACGAGAGGAACTTTGTTCTCTTATTTCCTCTTGTGATGCTAAAATTGTACTCATCTCCGAGACTTGGCTTCGTTCCGGTATAGACGGCAATGAAATATTGCCGAGTCACCCTGTGTTTATCATTTATAGGCGAGATCGATGCGGCCGTCGTGGTGGTGGCGTTGTAATATGCGTGCATGAAAGTATTCAAAGTTTTCTTCTCTTTATCTCGAGCACTATCGAAGCAATCTGGGTATCAATGAAATGCGGTTTTAAATCAATCCTGCTTGGCGCATGTTACAGGCCACCCGATGCGTCATTAATTTTGTGCCTTCTTTGCATGACGAGCCGACGAGCTGTCCGCTTTATGTGTGCAACTTCCTGACCATCCTGTTCTTTTATTTGGTGATTTTAATTTCCCCGATATTAAATGAAATTCTCCTGGTCAAGATTGTGTTACCAGTGACTGCCGTGAGTTTGTTTTATTTTGTTTAGATTTTGAATCTGCCCCAGATGGTTCCTTTTCCAACGCGTGTAAATGACGCGTCCTCAAATGTATTAGACTTGGTATTAACGAATCAACCTGAGTGTGTCTCGTCGCTGTCTGGATTCGAAGGCATAAGTAATCACAAGGCAGTACATTGTGACCTAGCATTTCAAGCGCCGGGACGTATAAGAATTGTTAAAACGATAAGGCTATACAACAAAGGAAATTATGAACAGTTTAACATGGACCTCTCAAATTACTTCCCAGTCTTCTTAGATAAATTTGATAGTAGGGATGTGAACAAAAACTGATGTAAATTTAAGAACAAATTATTAGAACTTGTTGAAATACATGTCCCAAGCACCACCATAAGTTCCCCATCTTCTAACCCCTGGTACCCGCGCTC